AGAGAATTTTAGAATTGCGAGTTATGAGAATTCTGTGGCAATTTGTTTTGTGAGAATTTGTGTGACAAGGTAGAATATTGTTGTGTTGTGAAATTTATGAAATTAGGATAATTACTCTTCTATACTCTTTGTGTAGGTGTTCAGGTTGTTTAAATGCTAGTCTGGTGAGGAAATTAATAGTGAGTTGTGTAATATTGTTTTTAACTTGTGAGTTAAATTGTTAATGAGTAATCTATTTGATTTTTTATTAGTTTTTAATTTTTTGTCACTGGATTTCTGTTCTTGATTGGAATTTGTTGCAAACTTATGGTTTTAATTCTAATTCGGTATTTGAGTTTTGTTGTGCTGGTTTGGATCGTTGGTGTGAAATGAGAATGAATAATTATAAGGCAGACTTCAGGTTGCTGGAGCAGTTTTTGTGTGAATTTGATATTATGAGTTTTTCATTAGTATTATGCTATGCATTTTCAGTTTATTGCCATTGTTTTAAACTCACAAGACTTCTTGTTGCTTTTATACTTGGGTAGAAACGCTGCTAGGTTTCAGTGTGGATTTTTACTTGGAGCTTAGTGTACGCATTTGTCGAGTTATTGATTTTTGAGTTGAGTTTGAGTTTATTTTTGGAGATTTTGAGTTTTAAAGCACTTCCTCCTTGTTTGAGATTTTCACATTTATTCCTTGCAGGTATTTTTGGTAGTCTAGTTGGTAGATTTTTTTGTGTCTCACAATTGCAGTGCATGCACTTTTGTCCTTAATAGACTGCTGTCTCGTTTTTCTAAATTGGGGTTTTGTATGTTTCATTTTTTTGTTTACTTTGGGCGTTTTTGTATAGATGTTGCTCAATACTGCATTTTCTCAAATCAGTGCACATTCCCTAAACAGCTCTTGTGGGCAAATTTTATGTTTCATACGGTTTAAATTTTAAAGGGTATTTTGAACACGTTTTGGTTATTTTGAGATTTTTATATGTGTTTTTAACTTGCTTCGGTTCGGTCTTGACGTAGTTCTGGTGACAAATTTTTGTTTAGATTTTTTTTCGGTAATTGAATTTATTATTGAGTTTTGATTACCTTACATGTGTCTTGAATTTTCTTTGGCTCTTTGAAGAATTTTTTTTAAGTTCCGAAGTTTATTTAGCTGGTTTTCACTCTGGTGGTGGTATGCGCTTGTTGAGAGTTTTCTTAGTTTCGGTTTAGTTCGTGACTCCATAGTGGTTTGCGTTTAGGAATTTATTCGGCTGATCCGAACTTTCATTTCCTGTTTCAAGTTAAGTTTTCAAAATGTTTTTTTCCCTTTTGTTTTTAGTTATGCGCTAGACCTTTTTTGGCTTAGATTTTGGTCAAGTTACTGAATTCCGTTTCTGGAGATTCTCTCTGCGTGTTTGTACTTCCTTTCAGTTTAGAGGTTATTTGTGATAAACTTTTCTGGTTCATGTTGTTTGCTTCTGTTGTTGATTAGGATACTAAAAGCTTGTATTTATTTACTCACTAGTTGTTTGGTTTGTTTCTGGTTATGAGCATTGTGTTACCAAGTTAGTAATTAAAGGTATCAGTGACACTTCACTCTTGCTGTCTTTGTAGCTACAAATTGAATTGTATTTAAATTTTTAGTTGAATTTTCTTAATTTGTTGGTTTAAGTGTAGGTAAATTTTTAAATAGTTGTGTGTACTTATCACTGTTCTCCGTGACTACATCCAGGTGTGTAATAATATTCTGCAGTTTGTGCTTAATCTTTTTGTAATTATTAAGGAGTGTGTAGAAAAATTTTGTTTCTCAAAATTTTTCTTTTTTCCGTACCGTTGGGGGAATTTGTTATGGAAAATTCTTATGTATTTTTTTGTTGTGTAATTATTTCGTATTATTTACTGTGCATAATGGTATTCTTAGTTATTATATTATTTTACTGTGTTTAATGAATTTGTATTGAGCTTATTTTAAATTAATGTATATTATTTAATATTGTTAAACTTTACGGCAAAGCTCCCTTAAGTTGACAGAATATGTGTTACAGTTTAAAGGGCGCGGGTGTATTTCCGTTTCTCACGCATAAGCTTCTTTGGAGGTTAGAGGTCACTGTCCAGCTGCATTTTCCCCTTTTTTCGCGGGGGTTGAAAACACGTGTTTTGCTCGTTCAGAGTCGAATAGTTCTAAGGGGCGGCGAATTTTTGACAGAGTTATAGGTTGGAAACATTCTTCTGTTGCGTGGGAAGAAAGGGTCTGTCATCTTGTAGAAAGTTCTGAATTTCTGAGAATTTCAGTGGCGATTTATTACTTTTCTTTTAATTGGCGAAAGGGAGTCCAAGTTTCCTTAAGATTGGCTAAATTTTTTAATTTTAGTGTTGTTTGAACCAATAGTGATTTTGAGGCGTTTCTTGGTGAGTGTCTACCGAGGTTTCTTAAGCCGTTGCACGGAAGGCAGAGAGGATCTTTTGGACTTATAAAAAAGAGATTTTTAGAGAAGACTATTAGCAGATTTTTTGGAGCCTTAGCGGGCTTTTTTCTCTTTGACGGCGGCCCCTAGTCGTAGGCCAGCCGCGGTCAGTGAGGAAAAACGCGGCGGGTTCTTCGGGGGTCGACCGCGGTATACAGTTAAGTTTTTATCTCCGAGATTCTGGGTACGGAGGGTCCGAGACAGTGCGGGTGCTCGACATGTTGACGGCGGCAATCCCTGTCTTGCGGCCTATTATTTTCAATTTCGTCGCTGATGTTTCTTTTCCCATTTGTGGAACAGTCTGAACTGCTCGTTCGTGCTGGAGTTTCTATTTTGCTTTAGAAATATGGAAATATGGAAAGTCGTCATCGCGTGAGGTCTGCTTTGGTCTGTTTGTCTCCAGTTTCGCGACCTCCTTCTCTTATCTTCAGTGGAACTTCGAAAATCGGGAAGTTGATTGAGTTAAAATGCTGCAATGACGGAGGAATTTGAAAACTATGCTGGAACTATGAAAAAAGGCTCCGGTTCCTGGAAAACAACGATGAAGATTTGGCTGTTATGTTGTCGACGTTTCGTGACTGGATCCGGGCAGCTCCCTGAGTCTCTCAAAGGTGGTACGCCGATTTCGTGAGTGACTTTTATTTTCAATTGGTGTTTTATTTTGATACATAATCTTTTTAAATTTGGAAATGTTTAATACTAAAGCAAGAGTTGTCATGTTAAGTAGATAAAAATTGAATATTTTTACCAAATTTCTAGCTGGGAAAGTAATTTTTTATTTAATGTTTAATAGTCAGAAGTTAATTGAACTAATTGGAGGAAGTGAATCTTTGTTCTAATGTTTAAGTGCTATGTTCAATATGCTTTATTCTAAATTAGCCTTTTATATGAGTTTAATCTTCTTCAGTGTTCCTGTTTAAAATTATTAAGAACTGTGACGTGTTTCACTATGATTTTTGTGTTAATGGATTAATGTTAAATATGAGAATGATATGAAAAAAAAAACTATGAGTAACTTTAAAAGATTTTGTAGGGGTAGTCTGGCCAGCTATCTTAAAATTATAATGTGTGGGAGTTTTCAATAAATGTGTTTATTATCTTTATTATTGTATGTTTTTTTTTGTGTATTAATTGTGGTCTACTGTAGGTCACCCATGTGATCCTTACGGAACATGGTTATTTTATTCGAACCTGGGTACTCATATTGCGGTAGTGGAAAAAAAATGGTTTTAGTGTTGGTGACTATACGATCTGTTTACTGAATTTAATTTGATTTATTGTGTAGACTTCTTAATTGAGAGATTGTATCTTTCCCTGGGGTTTGAAGAGTTCTGTGTGTTATTTGAAGTGTTAAGGGTTTAAGGCTATCTCTAGATTTTGTACTGAAATTTATGTGTTTTCAGGTTGGAGATATAAATTAGTTTTAATTTAGTGAGAGATAGCCTGTTAAAGATTTTGTTGTGGAAGTGCATAATTAATCGTGATTCTACCTAAACACCAGGGAGGATATCTTTCTTTGATGTCTTTTAGATTTACAAGTTTTGATTATGTATGTACAAAGTTTAGTAGTTTTTTTTTAGTTCTTTTTTTTGTCACGGTACCAAAAGAAGTCAATTTATGTAAAAGTTAAATTTTATTTTTTTTCGACGTAACACAGGGAACCGTTTCGCTTTCGCCGCCAAGTTAACAAGGTCTTTTCACAACTGAATATGTCTGCTTTATGGTGTCATACACACTATGCCTCACTTTATAATAGCGGAAGTTATTGCTCTATTGATCACAGTATGTTCCTTCCGTTCAACGTATTTTAAATCTTTATGATTTTACCTTTGTATTGAACAGAATCAATAAAATGAACTTAGCTGTGCTCTCTTTTTGTTCTCTTTTATGCTTTCGTTTTAATGGCCAACAGTGAATGTTCTACAAATTATGGATATAAATTTTATTTCTTATTGCATTAAATCAGGGTTTCTTAAACCTTTTTCATTCGCGACCCCTTTTTATCACTGATATTTTTTCGCGACTCCCAGGACCCCATAATATTTACAAAAATTTTATGAGACTCCATAAGTATTGCGCAAATCCGACACACGCGTGAGTGAAGCTGTCAATTTTTTCATTCGTACTGTAATATACTATTGCAGGTTTAGATCATTAACTTTAATTTCTAATTTTAAGACATAGAGCAATGTGAAAATTTTAAATAAGTAACAGATGAAATGACGTGCAAAGCAAGGAAAATGAACGTTTATATTATAAAAAGAATGCGTCGAAACGTTTTCTTTTTCTTTGACTGTATTGTCTTATCTTTATCTATTTTCAGATACATTGTGTAAAAATATTTGGTAATTGTAAGATTATTAAAATAAGTTAAAGAAATATCAAAATTGCTAAAATTTTCGGTGACCTCCTTGGGGGTCGCGACCCATATTTTAAGAAACCCTGCATTAAATTAATCTCATGAATTTTTTAAATAATTTAATTTTAAGTAAATATGTGATCTAAATATTTATTCTGCAATTTATAACTATGCTAAACTGCAGATTGATTGTATAAAACTACTTGCAAAGATGAAATTAATTAACACTTTAATCAAATCTTTTTATATCATCTCACACGAAACAAATGCCAGAATTGTCTCCTGCGGTTTCAGCTATCCAGTTAGCATAAGATGCAGTTGCAGTATACACATTTGGAACCAATGGCCTTCCACAACCCAGCACTGTTCCGAATGAAGAGACTCCAATAGCAACAGGCTTGCCTGTCATTGCATCCTCATATACTAGAGGACCTCCTGAATCTCCCTAATTCAAGAAGAAAATAAATTATAGAGATCCTATTATTCTCACAAATTTACGGAAACCTGACTTAAAAATATTTAATAACTTAAAATTAGAATTTCTATGAATATATGCAAGAAATTTTTCTTTTTCGTTCTCTCGAATTATTACAAGAGAGTATAATGCTGTTTACGTATTATTATCTTGCTGATAACTTTTCATAATTGCATACCAAGAAATTAAATGCTATTAATTTTATTGTGACTATACAGTGATAAGCATTTCTGAAAACTCAAATAAACATCGATATTTATAATTATTGTTCTCTAAGTTGATCGCTCACTAATCCAACCAAAAGCATCCATTAAGTGTGTTGACAAAACATGTTAGTCGTAGACATGTACTTTTGCAAAAATATTTGATTATTTAGCAGCAGTTTGTATTTATTATGAAAAATAAAGCACAAAACATTCGACTCTCGTACAAAAAAACTGATCGAGATATTTTAATTTCAATAGTTGGATTTTTGCCGTCTTTTTAAAAAATAAATTGGAATAATTTGAAGTTGATTTTTTTTCTGCATTTATGCCATTCAGTGATAATTTTTGTGATTGACTGTGACAGATATTTTTTGTGGTTGGTGTGTAACATTCGTTTGCAATTTGGCTGCATATGGTATGCTGAAAGAATCTTCACACAAGTAATCTAGGTTTTAAAATGTTAAAAATATGTCCTTAATATCCTTACGTAGCTTTGTTACTTTAAAATCATTATCTAATAATTATAGAAACAATTATTAAACTGAAAATCGTTTTCGTTTTTAATTTATGTAAATAATATTAGGAGATGGTTGTACTTTAATGAAGCCTGCCGCTATTTTCTAGAACTCTAATTCTATAAAATTCTGTAAATAAGATGAATATATTATGAAACAAATTATAATGATCAATACGTTTCATGAAAATCATCATAGTAAATCACTTAATCTACGAAGGTTGATCCAAAAAAAAAGTTTACAAGCAGAAGCATTTGAAACGTAATAATTGTGGAGCGAATATTTCCACCTAGGGTGGTTGACAGATTGCGCTAGTTGTCCTACAGCGGTTCTACGAGTAAGTAGCGTCAGTACGCAGACACTTAACATCGGCAGTAATGGCACAACGTCTAGAAAAAAGGTCTCGCATAGAGGTGCGAGCCGTAATTCGATTCTTATGGGCCAAGAACATGGCCGCATCCGAAATTCACAGACAAATCGTTGAGGTATACGGGGACAAAGCAATGAGTAGACAAAAGGTAGCGAAATGGTGTCGTTCTTATCAAGCGGGCAGGGAGCATGTGGAAAACCGCAATATGGAAGCGAGCGGACGTCCAAGTTCTTCAAGGACGGATATCAACATGGCACGTGTTGAAGAAATCATCCAAAGGGATCGACGAGTAACCGTGCGTGAGATTGCCTGAAAGTTGGACCTGAGTTATGGTAACGTTCAGCGTATCGTAACCGATGAGTTGCGATATTCCCAAAGTTTGTGCCCGCTGGGTTCCACGTGCGTTGTCCGCGGAGCATAAGGCCACTCGAATGATGTACAGCCTCACATTTCTTCAGCGATACTATTCAGACGGCCAACACTTCATTGATCGCATCGTTACCGGTGATGAAACATGGCTTCATCACTTCACCCCCACATCCAAAACAGCCACCACGATGGAGTGGAAACACGCTGGATCATCGACGAGGAAGAAGTTTAAGGTCACACCCTCTGCCTGTAAAGTGATGGCAACCGTTTTCTGGGATACGATTGGTGTTATCCTAATCGAGTATTTGGAGCATGGCCATACCATTAAGGCCGATCGTTATTGTGCCACCTTAACGAAATTGCGTAAAGCCATCCGACGCAAACGACCTGGATTACTGAGCAAAGGCGTCATTCTTCTGCATGACAATGCCAGGCCCCATACAGCTCGCCAGACTCAGGAATTGCTGCAAAGGTTTAAGTGGGAGGTATGGAATCACCCCCATACAGCCCCGATTTGGCTCCAAGTGACTATTTTATTTTTCCGGCGTTGAAGCGATACTTATCCGGAACACGGTTCACCTCAGACTATGTAGTGAAAACAGCTGCCGAGAAATGGCTTAATGAGCAGTGCCCTGATTACTGCCAAGACGGGATAAACAAATTGGTCGAATGTTCTGACAAATGCCTAAACAGGTTTGGCGACTATGTGGAAAAGTGAAGGCCAGATGTGTCTCTTGATTCCCATTTGTATCTTGTTTCTGTTGTTAATAAATACTTTTTTTATTTGCCTTGTAAACATTTTTTTGGATCACGCCTCGTATTAACTTCCTGAATTTTTTTTATAAACTAATATTTCATAGTTTACGAGCATTAGTTAAGTGAGAATGCAAACATTTTGCTCTTCAGTTTGCATATTACCCTTCAAAATTATCTTTTAGTTTGTAATAAAATTTTTAGGGTAATTGTTCTAGTATGGAAGTCAAACCTTTTGTTTTTATTTTCTAGAATGGGTATAAATGTTTACTTGATATATCTACAGGAACTGAGAGACGTTAAAAAAGTTAGATTTTGTAATTTTACAAAATTGGTTTTTAAATTTAAGATTTTTCTCTTTTAGAAAATTAGTTTTTTTAATTCAAGATTTTGTAATTTTAGACAACAGTTTTTTTATAAATTAAAAAATACAATAATATGAATATTTTCCTTATTTAAGGCATTTATATAATTGAAGGTAAATGTCTACGATTAATAAATGTGAAAGTAAAGGCCGTGTAAAGAATTTTGTGAACAGTGTATATTAAAACTCCCACTAAAATGTTCAATTGCTGTATCGAAATAAAATATATTAAACACTGAATGAATCAAAGGATTGTAAGTTTCAATACTTAATATAATAGGGAAAAATGTTATGAAAAAATATAGTGAATTCTAAATACTTAATTTTATCTTTTTTCAGTCTGGCATAAAATAATAGATAGTGGTACTTAGCAGTCAATTCATAACTCTCTTTAAATGATTCATTGCATTCCTAAACTGTTTATGCTTATTTACTTAAACATATAACAGATCAATAATCAAGTTGCACCAAAGGAGCAGTTCCCTGCGGAGTTTGATGTTAATGCAATCGCTTATGTTTATTCCGAAGACGACAGTTTAATGATTTATGTCTATGATGTTTTTTAATTTTAAATAGCGCAAATCTTAGATTAAGAGGGTTCCTTAGATAAGTTATCTGAGGGACATTAGATAAGCTATCTGCGAAACGAAAAGTAAAAATTTTGTATTTTAGAAGTCATTTAAAAGTTATGAATATAGCTCGTCGTTTGTAGCAAAATTTGAATTTAGCAGAAATTTATGTTAAGTCGTAGAAACAAGATTTTTAGTAGTTTCTTATTACTATGGCCCCATTTTGTAAATGGAATCAAAATTATCGATAAATAGCTAGCGCAAACCATCTTTAGATGGCCGGCAGTCCTAATGACGATAGTTTGCTCCGTGACGAAAAGAGCTCCGAGTAAGCCACACGCTATCGTATTTTCTTTTTTTATATAAATGTTGATCATTCGAGAGCACTCGTTTGATAACATATTTTCTTACTTACAAAATGTTTGATTTATGGAGAACTCAGAAAGATTCTATATCTTCCAAAAAAAGAAGCATTTGTCTTTGCATTCGAATTCCCGAAAACAGCCCTAAAATAGACTTCTTTATCAGAAAAATCATTTACGGATGCAAAATTGAAAATGAAAGAAAAGTATATGCTTTGACAATCGGTTCGGTGGTTTCAAAATGCAGTTTGTAGCAGCGAAGCTATTTATTTACTGTTTGACAGAGGGAACTCAGGCATTAAGAAAATACAAAATAATCTCTGAAATTTTTAATGAAAGAAGTACATTCTCTACATCTAATTCGACAGCCAAATTAGCGAATATGTGGCTCTAAAAAAATCGTAGAAAAAGAGTCGGGAAAAAGATAGTCGACAAAGTTTTTGCATAATATGAGACATTTGGTGAGAAGATCGTGAATTCTTTCATTCTCATGTCCTGAAAAGAGAGACAGCCATATTCATGGCAAGAATCGTCGACCCATATTCATGGCAAGAATCATCGTACAAGAAGAATCGACGATTTATTCAGACTGTTGGTGAGCATTAAATGCAGCATAGAAAAAGCAGAATAGAGATATTTTACTGCAAATTGTTAGTTTAAATTTGTTGATCCAGCAAAGAACAGGAAAGATCCTTAAGAAGCAACTTCATACTCTCCTGTATGTCTCCTGCCTGCTGTGGGCAAAATGCTCGAAAGCGTGGTATTCTAAAGACTTATGTTTTTTACAAATTCGACGCTTGCTGAACTCTAATCAGTTTGGCTCCACAGCTGGTCGGTCGGTGGACCATACCTAGAGAAACTGCAATCAATGAGTATAAATAACAAGCGTGATAATATTTACATATTCACTATTTCCATAGACATACAGGGCTCTTTGATTTGTTGATTAAAACAAATGACCTACCCCCAAACTCTACACAGAGTGCTGAATAGCTGCTTCAATAACAGATATATCCAAACCACAACAGCCGAAAGTGTCTGTGTGACCTCCATCAACGGGGATCTCTCCTTGGGCCACTATTATGGAACATAGTTGCAGACTCTGCCTTCTTACTATTTGAGAATGACGAATATATGAACATTCAGGCATATGCAGATGATTTTCTTATAAAATTTTGCTCAAGAAAAGAGTATGAAGCTAGAGCCCAACATTTAGTGAACTTTTTTACAGGCTGGACATAAGATCATAAGCTCACTATATCTGCATCTAAAATCCGTGGAACGGTCATTACTTCAGGCTGAAATGTATTTATATTAATGATTGACTTACTTGGCATGAACATATAGCGCAAATTAAACAACTGTTGCACAAGTTGCCTAACTTCATTCAACGGAAAGCAGCGAAGTGGGGAGTATCCTTTCAGATGCTGAGAATATGTATCAGTAGTAGATGAAACGTGTCCTTGGATAAGACCTTTGTGTGTGGTTCTCACATTACAAAAAGTATGCACAGCAACATTTTCTCCCAAGCATATGCCGGGCGTACAGAACATACCCTACCAGTGCACTAAATGCCCTAGCTGACTTTCCCCTTCCATCTCATTGCACAAAGGGAAAATTCCACAGCCGAATACTTAAGCTGCTACAATACATCTCTATAGGACAGAAAATTATTCAGCACTGACTATGAGAGCAATAAGACAATAGAGCCCTGCCACCCTCAGAACTCGATCTTGATAGAAACTAAAAATTCCATCAACTTCTGGGGCATGTGCAGTATAACTGATGGATCAAAAAGGAATCAAGACATAGTTTGTGGCTTTTGGTGATACGAGGCACCAGCAGTGTATTTACCAACGCAAGAAAACTAAATTATGTCAGTATTGTGTTTCAGGCTGAGCATGTCGTGTATTCACTCTGTATAGGGTTGGGAAAGTAAGAACACCAGCAATCGAAGAACACAGAATGCTATACTTCTTTCCAGCAAATATCGACCAAAGGTCCAATGTATCTATGTATGTACTAAAGTACACAGCAGTGGAAAAGCAGACGAAATTACCAAATTTTCAGTCATGGACAAATGTACGCTGATACGGTATCATGTCCAAAATCACACATGAAAGTTACCACTAGGGTCTTTTTAATGGACCAACGGCAAAGTCTCTGGAACAACATCACTGGCAGGAGAACATATAATTACCTAACGAAGATCAGAGATAAATTACTCAGTAATATTTCTGAGCTGACACAATTCTTGACAGGATTTGACCCATAAGCCCAACAAAATAAGTGGCCGCAACTACTTATTTCGAGACAGTGTATGCGAAGGGGTTAGATATCCTAACCATTACACTTTTGATTGCCCAGAAACAAGTGCTTATAATTTCCGCATACCATCGACTGAAAACAAACACATGCATGGTCAACTAAAATCTGCTGCAATACATACACACTGGCATATGTATCCGGAACTACACTGAAGTAGTTCTTGGAATCTCCATTCACTTTGAAAATACACAATATACTTATTTTTCTAAGCAGTGGCATATCAACATATTAGACATCTTTCAAGTTCTGTTTGAAGTAGTACCTCCAATGTAAGTTCTGCATAAGAGTATTAATATATATACAACAGATTTGTAAAGCGCATTAGTATTGGAATATAATAGTGTAATATAGTGTTGAAATTGTTATTATACGTAATTGTATCCTATCGTTATATGCGCACCAGAGGTTTGGTATTGCAAAAGTGCGCACCAGAGTTTTGGTATTGCGAAAGTGCACAAAATTTTAAAATGCTTATCTGATGAATATTATCATATATTGTACAATATTATTTTGTTTATATGTGTGTAACAATTTATTGCCACGCATCAATTTTCATTCAAATGAGTATATGAGTATGCTTTGTAACAACACACTCATGTACATTAGTAAAATACATCTATCTACATGAGGAAATATTTCTGATACCATATCAAAGTACTCGCGGACTTGCGTTTAAAAATTGCGAACTGTTATTATAAAGAAGTATCGAATTTTTATTTATTTTATGAGATTCAAACTGTTGTAGAAAAAGACATGATCAATCAAGTAGGTACATGTCATTGAATGAATATTTTAATACACAGTGAAGGTTTATGAGATTACTAGACAAAAATTGCAATGGAAGAATTTTACTAGTTATTTCGTCTAAACACTTAAGATATGTTTTTCGTGTTTTGAAATATTATTCATATACAGAAGTTCAGAGTATTAAACAAAAATGAAGCTTTTTATCCTTAACTTTTTTTTTTTTTTTTTTTTGCTACATTATTTTCTATTTACCTTCGCATTAAATAGCCTCAAGTTACAAGCCTCTTGGAGTTGGTTAGATACTGTAGTGGAAGGCCAGGGCATCCACTTATCAATATGTTAATAAAACTACAAGTTCATCCGAAGGTAAGTAGAAAATAATATAGATGATAATTCATGATTTAATTTGATTAATAATCTGATCACCAGTGATAACCTACATGATGAGCATCTACCTTCACAGAAAATCAAAATAGACTACAGATGTGAATGATCGTTTCAGGGAAGATTTCATGGTATACTTTTCAAGATATGTCTATTATTTCCAGAGAAATTCAATATTTTTAACATTTATTTTCTGTTTACAAAAGTGGCGACCGGTTTCTCTCTCTCTCTTTCTCTGTATATAAAAGAGCTTATTTCAAATAATTGTTGGCTTCCCATATCACAGGTATATTTGATTTAATTAATATTTAAAATATATGAAATAATAAATGTTGTTTATTTTTTAATTAGTTAATTATAACTGATAAAATTATTTTAAGTAGTTTTGAGGATAGATATACTGTAAAAAGCTGAGCGTAAGAAATTCAAAATATATTTTCGAATATAATTTTTTGTTAAATATAGTTATCCTTGAATTTTAATGGGGTATAATACAAGAAAGCAAGAAAATATTAAATTTTATTATAACATAAATTAATGAAAATTTAAATACAATGCATTCGAATGAGAATGCAATGGAAGTTTATGAAGAGCAGCAAGTTAATCAAAATCACTTTTTAACAATACGTTATAAGCCATTTGAGCATTCATCGTACATCTATGTATTGTTGGAAGTCAGAAAAAAGGTGGAACTATGCATTATGAAGTCTGCGGCTAGTAAAACTGATAACTTAAATCATTTTACGTTAGGCCGTTGGGAAGGATCTAACGGGTTCTCTTTATTGCCAAAGTGGCTCTGCTGTGAAGCGCGTACAAATTGCACGCTATATTTGCAATGAAAAAGTGTCTTATAATGCCGTTCTGGTACTTTTCTCTCTTCTAATAGGGGGTTTAAAAGTTTTCAACATAGTTCTTGGCATTATTAAATGAAGATAACGCTAAGACTGGTATTACGTATCCATTAATTTAAGCGAACAATTGTTTCAGAAAGTTTTTCTACCATTAAAAGTAACACATAATATTTTCCTTCCTTTCGCAAAAAAATTGGAAGTTTTTCGTTTTCAAAAACCAATCAGCTATCAGCATCGAATTCCCATCATCAGGATTGCAGAACTAGTTTTCCCTTTACATGATCACTCTAAAACGTTCCGCCGTGATTGGTGTTTCATTACCATGTGACGAGGCAGAAAAATTGTTCTAAAGATTTATTCTTCTGAAATGTTTTGAATGTGTGATAGGACCTTAATACTTACAAAGCACACTCCAGTTCCACTTGTGGCTACAGCACACTCATGTCGGTCCGTGATGGCGATTATCATCATTGCAAAAAAGAGTTGACATAAACTTTTAGGTTGCACACCCAAAGAAGTAGTCCTCAAAATTTCGGATGGCTTATCAGAATCTGTAAGTAATGAAAGTAAATTGCTTTGCATAAAATTTTTTTCAGCATCACAGAAAGCGAAGGAACATCTAACATGGAAACATTGTGTACAGTTTCTAGTTTACTCTTAAAAACAAAGATTATTAAAAATAATGTTGCCAAAAAAGATAAAAATTATAAAGTTAAAAAAAAGTCAACGTCGTTATAGCAAAAATTGTTTAGAAACATTATTTAAAAGTGCAAATGGTGCGCATACATCGTTAAATTCTCCCCAAAATCGCGACTTCATGATACGAAAAGAAAATAAAGATTGTCATCCTCATATTTTGCAGTTAGCAGTAAAACATCAAACATTATACCGCTTCTTTCACCAATGCATCGTTTGTGAAAACGAAGGCAAAGCTTTCTAGGAATCTGTAAAATTTGTGTTTGAAATTTACAAATCTCGCTAAGACTTTAAGATAAAATTAGGAAAACCAAATGAAAAATTCTGAAAAACTTAAATAAAAATACAGAACTCTTACATTTATTCGATAAATAGCAAATTTAATTAAGTACGAAAATGAGTTTCAAAAACTTAATGGAAAAAGTGTTATTAATTTTTTGAAACACATTTTGTACACTGAAATAATGTAGTTTAGTTATGTTAAAATGTCATAAACTTTTTATCTTATAAAAGTATTTCATAGTCAGTTTATACTTAATTTTTCTCAATTTTAGCAAGTGTGCGCATTAGGTTTGACATTTTAAACTTGAATTACATTAATAAGTGTGCATAATTGTAAAATCTAAAATCTATGACTATTGTGCAAGTTTTAATCTGTTTTAAATTAAATTAAAATGAATGGGTAAGAATGTTATTTCTTTGAATTTTCGATTTTGCACGAACTTAGCTCTGAAACTTTGCAGATATACTGTAGAGATATTAGATTATTTCGGAGCAGGAGAGATGAAAAATTAGCAATGACTTTGCCAGGACTCGAAACACAGACCTCTCGAATACGCGCCTAGTGTGCTGGCTGGCCATTACACCACGAAGGTATGCTAAGAAGGCTGGAGAAATACCTTATAACACTTTGTATAGATGTTGGTCTCTTATTGAGGCTAGAGATTTACTGAAAACCAGAAATGGTCGAGATCCGATTTCAGACCTTTTTATTTTCCTTGCAACTGAGAAAGTCAAATAACTCCTTGTGCGTAATTTGCTACCCCGTGAATGCTGAATATCAAACTTATGCGCATATAATAGCACAGTAAACTGATAAAAATCTTACATTCGAATCATGACAAAACAGACTGAAAGAATGATTCTAATGCATTGGTTTTGTCACAGATCAAAAACAGCTGATAGTTGATTGAAAAGTAGCCCGATGTGAATTACAGTCATGTGTAATATTTCATAGAAAAAATATTAGCTTTGGTGTATTAAAACTTTCATTTTTTAATTTGAAAAAATTAGTAAGATTTATAGGTTTATTTTTGTTTAAATCCTTAACCATCTTCACGAAGAATAGTTCTATAGTGGAAAGAACGAGCCAGCTTAGGTAAATTTTCCTGATGCTTTAGTTTTGGTAAGGGCAGACGAACGGTTAGCTACTAATTGCAATTCTGAGTCATTCACCCATCGTTAAACTTATATTTGAGCAAAATTAAGCTTTTCCATTAAAACCACGGACCACGATATATTTACTAAAAGTATGAATAATAAATTTCACAAATTTTGAATTAGTTATTTCATATATTCGACTAGCATTGGTACAGGTATATAAAGTCATCTGCGATTGATTTAAGTATTATATTTGTTCCATTTGATAAGTATTTTAACAACTCAGGCTAAGCTGTTTATATTTTTAATTATAAATAAGTTTAGTTATTTTAAATATTATTATTTTGTACCTCATTTTCGATTGATTAGCAGGTTTGCTTTGTGCAACGGCGCTCTCTAAAATTGCGTGTTTGTTATGTTTTTTAAATACTTGATATGGAAATGCTTACTCAATGGTAAATGCAGCTGCTAATAACAAATGCCGCACCTGCCGGTATAGTGGTTAGTGAAGCTGACTGCCTTATCTACGGGCCAGGGGTTGAATCTTGGAGAAGACATAGATGTTTGGAAGCGTATAGTGTTTGTTCTGAAAGAAAGCACTCAAAATAACCCCCGAAACGAGTCTTCTCCAGAAGTTGGTAGTAGAACATCCAGAGCGGTAAAGATACTCTAACCGCCTTGAGTTTGTTGTTGTTGCAAGGGGTGAACTACTTTGAGTTATCCCTCAAAATTTGGGCGAAAGCTTAACGATTAACAAGGCCTTGTAATACCTGACGTATACCTACGGCAATGCACAGGCGCCGGTCTTCCTTCAAAATGTGCGTTGCCAACTTATACCTGCTAATAACAAATATAAGTAGAAGAAACTTCCACCAAAGTTTCATATTGAACATCCTTAAGTATACCACCGCATGGAGTTTTATTTCGGAGATTTATGTTTAATATCAAACTTAAATTGGGACTACCACAGTCCCAATTTACTCTAGTTTACCGGTACTGATGTTTTTAGGTTAATATGTAACCTAGATGAATCACACACAGCTGTGGTTTGATTGTTCTGCAGAATTAATTAGCGAAACATCAGCTCCTGTGTATTTCAGTTGGAGTTTACAATATATACTAAAGTAAACTGGAACTTCTACTAATGGATTTTTCCAAGTCATCTTTACATGGGAAATAAACATAAAGTATTCTTAATAACATGACAATAGAAGTATGCCACCTATTACTTACATTCCTAATAGATTCACTACAGGAACTGAAGTTTGATTATTTTATGAGTAAGATTTTTCAAGAACTTTTGAATAAATTTTGATCGGTTTTTATCTGTTGAACTCACTATAGAAATGCACCAATATGGAACACTTGAAATCGACCTCTTTTTTTAAAGAAAAACTTTGAGAAAACTATAAAACCTCAGCCAGTCAATTAATTACAGTCGCTAAGAATGTCTGGATCACTAAGAAGTAAGTTGTCTGGATCACTAAGTCGCTAAGAATTACATCATGCTATACAGTACTATTTATACATATTGTTACGAAATGTACAGGCGCGGTAAGATGGCTTCCTCGCAAAGCTGTTTTAGGGTTGCCACATTTGGCGAGAAATCGCCCATTTGGTGAAAAAATTGACTAAATGCCATGGACGGATGGAGAACCTTCTGGAACGAATTCTTTCCGGTTTAGTCCAGAATGTGCTCTAACACAAGTCGAAAGCTATATAAAACCTGCTGGTCCGCAGTCAGTTAGTGTGTGCGTGCCTCATCGAGAGGGCGAGTGAGAATGCCTCGCATAGAATGCGAGTTAGTATCGAGTTGGTGTCTCGTCTAGCGAGTCAATCGCGTTGCAAGCCGGGCAGCGAGTTCCGAGTGGGTCGTCGAGTGCACCGAAAGAGTCTCGTAGTATATCGCGGTTAGTGAATTGTCGAGAGAGCATGTTGAGCTCCCGGAACGACTGAACCGAAGAGTCGGGAGAGCTGAGCTCTGTGTCGTCGAGTGCATCGCGAGTTGTAGCGTGGAGAGTTTCGAGAGTACGTGGAGTTCCGAAAACAACCAAGCAGAGTCGGGAGCTGTACTCTGGTGCTTGCAGTGAAGCTGTCTCCACCGTGATAGCCTGATAACCTGAAGGCTGTGTCGCTGATCATGTCAGCGTGTTTATAGTAGTTCATTGACGACTGTATTGTTCATTGACGTGTCTTAAGGCTGTCTTGACAATGCTGGCTAATAAAGTGTGTTTCGATACTTCATCAAATAGTGTTGTCATTATTCACTCCAAATCCATACGAACCCCTTACGAACGTGAAGGAAGAAAATAACCTAACAACTGGTGTCAGAAGAGAAAACCGTAACAATATTTTAAGTGCTTACCAGTGGATGTCACTCCCCAACCCATAGCTTGCGCATACTCTAACTCAAATTCTCTTCCAGCTTTAGGAAGACAGATGGGAGATATGCTGTCACTGAGTTCCAAAGGTTCTGCTATCCTCAGTATTGCAATATCATATTCTGTTCCGGCTCCATATTCAGGATGTGAGATGACTTCACTGAATTCTATTTTAGTTTCTGGGCCTTTATGTCTGATATTGCCAACTATACCGAAGAAATCTGTAGCTGGTTCAACTCCATTTTCACTAAAAAACAATGAAAATTCATTTATTGAACTGCAAATGAAAGTTATTGGTAAATATGTGGGAGAGACGCAGACCATCTGCAATATAAAAGTAGATAAAAATTAAATATTATATATAAAAGGGTATGCAAATTTAAAATTGATTTTTATGTAATGTTATAGCTTGATAAGTGTTGCACGTAATAGTTTTACATATTGTTTTTATGACAATTGAAATTTCGAATTTTCTCTTTATTTAATTTAATAACATAATAAAATTTCCTAGAAGTAATTTTAACAAAAACACAATTTAGAGCTGATACTCTAAAGAAGATAAAACAACTACTATCTTTAGGAGACATAGTTTATAGATAGGGATATTTAGTTTATAGATAGTGTATCGAATAAATCATAATATATAAAATTAAACTTTTCCTCTTTTTGATCCCATATTTCATATGAAATATTGGAGGGGGTAAATTGAAGACTATTTTCTTGAATTTTGTTTTGCAGTTTATTAGTTAAAATTTCTTGGATGTGCAAAAAATTTTTAAAAATGTCATTCAGTATTCTGCAAGCTAAAAATTAGTTTACATTCTATTATTTTGACGAAGACATCATATATGTATATATGTATCTCATATATATATATATATATATATATATATAATATATATATATAATTCCTAGGAGACATAATTAAAACCTAACAGACGGCATATTAAAATGTTAGATTTCTATTTGATTAATAATTCTCATTACATAAATAGTATTGCATCAACTTTCATAGTGTTGAAAATACATATAAGATCTAAATCGTAATCGATTGTCAAAAATGTCAGTTTCGGATGGATAGAATTTTAATTCAAGCTGAAAATAACACCTTTACAAGATATTAAAAACAATTCTTGAAATTTTGCTTAAAGCAGAAAATGAAACAACAATCTCGGATATCTCAAAGAGTAATAGCTTATAAAGTGCTTAATATAAATGATTCCAAATTTGAAACCACGTAAAGAAAAATTCCAAAAATTAAATCAAATAGCTCTTTGCTTATTGAGTCCTTAGTTCATTTACATCCTTTCTTGAAATCTAATTCAAAAAGTAATTGGTTCAGTTAGTAGTGATCATCGAGTTGTTATTGCATAAAAGCGTACAATATTTCAACGCTTATTTCCACGGACACCTCAAGAAGTTATTCTCATTTTCATTTATATACGAGGTATCGTATTTTATAAGAATCAAGTCTCGTATTTTAAAAGGTATGCTTTCATCTAAAGGTTCTGTCTTGTAGAGTCATTAGATTGATTTGGAAGCAAGGAAGATGAAAAATTAACAACGCCTTCGCCGGGAATCGAACCACAGACCTCTGAAATACCGTCCCAGCGTGCTACCGTTACACCACGAAGGCACGCTAGGGAAGTGGGAGAAATACCTTATAATCTATTTAATTATACTAGTTTATAATTTATTCATATCAGAAGCCTTTTAGCCTGCGCGTAAAAAAATACAGGAAATACTTTAAAGAAATCTAGAAAAGCTTTAAAATAATGAATTTTATGATTTAAAAAAAGAATAACACGTAAACTTACTATTCTACGCAATGCGCAGCTGTCATAACTAATGATGGGGATATTAAGGAGGCACTGCATATAAATTTTCCATTGAAGTGAAGAGCTACCTGTTACGGAGAAAAATAATCCATTTCATCAGAACATCAGGTTATGTTTCTATGTAAGCTATGCATCTGTCTCTTAAGTGTTAAAATAAGTTTTAAAAGAATGACTTCAAATGCTGAAATCAGTTGGAACTATTTCTGGTAAATTGCATTTAAAGCCTCGTTCTTCTCAATGATACAGGAATAAATGAGAATTCTGCCACAGATCTCATGGCAAGAGGATTTCTTTATAATGCAGCACGCAAATTAATGTTTGGTTATTTAGATAGAATTTCTGCAAGCCATGAAATATGCGACAGAGGCGGAAGTTAAATTTTTCGAAATTTTTAGTTGCAAAAGTATACTGTGATAAAAATCGCTCAAAAAAATATGTGGTGTGAAAGCATGGCTTAAACTCTGCGGTATACGGTTAAGAAAAGTGAATTTGTAGAATTTATATAAGGTTCTTTGTGATCAAAAGCTCTAACTTAACAAAATTTCCATTCATTTTTACTGAGAATAAGTCATCTATGAAGTCTAATAAACAAACTGTCTATTTAAGTAAGCTACAGTTAAAAAAAATTGTTAGGATCACATCGCCTATTTAATAAAATGTGCAATAATTTAACCAAGTTCTAAAAGCTGACTGATTTCATATACTGTCCGCTGCTTAATGCTTTCAGTATCATCATTTTTCACAATGGATAAATTAAATTTGAAGCCCCATCATTTTCCACAAAGTATAAATTAAATTTGAAGCCAGTTCCCCTTCGGCCTTCTCTCAAACCAAACTCATCACTTGTGGGTTTTTTTTTTCTGTGGAAGTATTTAAGAACTGATAATTATATAAAACCCATGTCTTGAAGACTTTGAAGTAAAGGTACTATTTCTGTTTACAATCCAGTCATCTCTGTTGAGATGCGTAGAAGAACAATCTTTCGTGTATTTTACCATCTGCTGCAACATAAAACGTTGTTCAACCACCATTTATAGATCAATATTATTTACTCAAATGCAAGTTGGAAAAATATGAACTGTTTTCTAGTATGTATGAAGTGTTCAAAATTTTGTGATTGATTTTCTGAACTGAAACATTTCTGTTTTTCTACATTTTAGCTAAAACTTTGTCGGCGCTACTCTCATTGAATAATGATCAGGTCCAAGGTAAAGCAAATATAATCTACTCGAGAAATATCCTGTTTAATGAGATCTATTCTAACGTAGTAGCAAATTTTGGAATTTGACCTTCATACCACGAAGCAGAACATAAACTAGAATTTTCATGGAATGGCACTCAATATGAAAAATGCAAGGACTGTCTAAAAAGAAGTTAGAATGCTTTTTCAAGTGCACATATCTCTGCTGTGCGACCTATGGGAAGTGGAAAGGAATCTGTTAACATTGTATGGTCTTACAAGTTGAATCTGCATCTCCATAGCAGTCTGCATATCAGCAAACTTATAGTTTTTGATTACTGATAGTTTTTGGATTTCGTCACAGACAAAATTGCAAAGGAGACTCAAACAGCGTTAGACGGTAAACTTTTGTATGAAATTCAGGAAGTCTACTGAAATGTTGCATATTGAAGAAAGTTTATGGAGATGTTGTTTTGTCTTCAGATAAATTCATCAAGAAATGCAAGACAATAGAATGGAAACTGTCACGAACAGTACTTAACAGTCCTTTTGTGGGAAACTTGCTCATATTGATGTTAAACGGGAGAAAAACCATTAAAACACCCCTGCAATTAACTCATTCGCTAGGACTTGAAAATCTGGAACACTGAAACTAACACTTAACGCTGACTAACATTATGAAGTGATTTTGCCGCTTGTGTCATAAAAGTAGAAGGCGGAGAAAAGCATTCAATAGCCTAACTGTAAGAGTTCACGTTTGAGCTTTTCTAGTACATAAGAGCTAGAGTTTCGAAACTGAACTTTATTTTCACAGATCAGTTTTTTACTCGTGTAAATCTTTTCACGTTCGAACATTTATATTATTATTATAAATATAATCATGTTATTAAAGCTAAAAAAACTGAATTATTAAAAGGCTTCTTCAAATTTAATACTGGCAATTTCGTTTTACCATCCACGGAAATTCCTTTTCTTCAGCTTCTCTGCCGTTTATTATTTTGACTTCAAAATCATCTGGAACAAAAAATTAAAATTAATGTTTGATATCACAAAACGGCTTATTAAAAAAATTCTTGAAATTGATGAAACTTTTAATTGATGCTATATATTTTTATATGTTTAAAGAGTCATTATTTTCATCCATCGTATTGAAAAAGGTTTAAAATGTTTAATCATAATTTCATCAAGAAACGAATTCACAGTTTTCTATGAATTACGAATTCTCAAAACTCGTTCTCCAGTCTAAATAGAATTTAATACTAAGTGAAAACAATCCCACACCTCCAAATTTTAACCCAGTTTTCGAGTGTGATGCTACCAGCATCGATGCTGCTATCGTTAATCACTATATCTAGAAACTGATCTACTTTTAAAGCTGGTCATCATGACGCCGTATCAAAACATCCTAAATTACGAAATTGAGACAATCTGAGAAATAATTTCATATTCATTACGTTTCAAGAATTGCAGCTGTTATATAGACATCAAAGAAAAAGGAATCAGTACATATGGTTAAGTTTTTATATAAATGAATCCTAACTTAAATATTTTATGTATTATGACATATCATTTTAGAAAGGGTTTACAAAATCAACAAGAAAGGATAAGGGGAAAAGAGAGTAGCAGAAAAATTTGGAGGTCTTAATACTCTTTTTCATGCTGGGATAGAAATGAAGAGTGTCAAATCATAGCTAATATGGATTCAGGTGCAAATTTGGGGTCCTACGATTAAAGCAAACAGCGGAATAAAAATGCCTCATTTAAAGATATTACCTACTACGAAGATTATTTATATATTATCAAATTGTGAAAAGACCTAAGTCTTTTATATCATGTGTTCTTCAAAACAACTAAAACTGTTATTCGCTAAAATAAAACTCTTGATGATATTTTTACAGAGAGATTCGTTCAGATAGCTGAAACCTATATATCTCATTTATATATTTACCAGTTATCATCATATCGTCTTCTAATAAAAGTTTATTCTTATCTTCAAGTCCAAATGATAGATGAATTATTTCGGGAATACAAAAATTATTAAATTACCAGAATACTATAAACAGCATGGAATCATTAGCATGTGATAATATTGCGCATTTATGATATTCAAAGGTACACAGTGAAAAAAAAAAAGGCGACAATTCTATATCTCCAGTTTTACTGGTCCGATTGACGGAATTCAAACTGAGTTTTTCATGTCTCAAAAGCGCGACTTAAGAATGTATTAGATATATGTATAGCATTGTTCTAATGCAAGCATTTTGACACAAAGTCGGACTTTTTCTGAAATGATTTGCTAATTGTTTTTCATATTTCTATTCTACGACTCAAATTATGTTAAAATGCCAAGTTTTGTCAAAATCGCACGTACAGTTTAAAAAATATTAGCTCTCAAAATTTTAGCTCTTCAATGTTAATCAAATTCGGTATATATTTGCTATATCTCTTTTTTTTTATTCAAACTATTTTATACTTTCTTTCACATTTCGAAATTTAGGCTCATTCCAAATAAAATTTCTCCCATTTTTTATGATTTATTTCTAAAGTTTGTGTGTTTAAATAATTTTTATAAATTTTTCGAATAAAATTTTGAAACATAACCTGTAAAAGTTTTAACATAATCTTAAAGTAAATGTATTTCTAGGCACACCTGCAAAAAAAATTAGAGTTTTTCATTCAAAATTTTCTGAGATATGCATGGATTCACATATTGGCGCGTTTAGAAATTTGCGTGTTTTCTATTAGCGATAATAACGCCAAATGTGGTTTAGGCACTTTGACAAAACTATTTAAAGCAATGAGCGATGACGTTTTTCGCTCGTCTGCAATGAAAAAAATTAAAGGAAATAGGTTGCTATAAATTAAGAAGTTCGCCAAGTGAAAAAAAAGTGCTCCAAGATAAATTTTTGAATTTTTCCGTAAATTTCGCACCATATTTTACAAAATTTAATATTTAGGCATAATTTGAGTAGTAGAATCGAAATATGGAAAACATTTGGCATATCAATTCAGAAAAAGTCCGATTTTGTGTCAAAATACCTATATTCGAACAATGCAATATGTAAATCTAATATATATCCTAAGTCGGACTTTCGGGACCTGAAAAACGCAAGTTGAATTTCGTCAATTGGCCCAGTAGAACGGGAAATTTAGAACTGTCACTTTTTTAAGCGCAGTGTACATGCAAATTATCAATATATAACGAATAGAACATAATATATGCTATTAATAATTCTATGCATTATTAATGCCTTTTGCTTAGTCTTCTAATCTTGTATTTAAGGTTATGAAAAAAGTCATTTATTTTGATTTCCTGATTACCCTTTATTTAAAACACAATCTTATTTAAAAACGAGGGGAAAAAATGTTGGAATTTTGAAATTTTTTATGGAAATTCTGCTTTTTATTTTAAATATTTATTACTTTTAGACATATAAAATATAGTATGGTAAATGCTACTCAATTTTCTTTAAAAATCAAAGATTTCTTTTAAATAAAATTTAGCAAATGAGACGAAACTGAAACATACCTGAATCTTCATTTGAATTTCTTGTAGCATTCAGAGGTCCACTCTAGAAAAAAATCATAATTTTAAAACAAAGATTATTTCTAGGTTAGATTATTTAATCAGTTATTACGTTAGATTATTTAAAGATTATTTAATCAGTTAAACATATTTATTCTCTAGTTCAAAGACTTCAAAAATAATTTACATTATAAAATAATGATGACATGATGATAAATCCTCTAACAGTCTCAAAAGGAACTAAGTTAGTTAATTAAGCGAGTTGTACATTGCAATTTTATTCTTGATTTTACTTTATTTAATGCGGTGTTATTTATTAAAAAATTAGATTCTAAAAGCTGTATTTTTAATTATTAAAATTTTTAAGAATATTCTCATTTTCAAAAAATTTGGTCTCAGCTTTATCATCAACTGAGAAAATATCGCTTAAGCTTCTTTTCTGTGAATTGTAGAAAAGACAGTATTTCACATAGAGTTTGTAACTTTTCTTATGAAGTATTTATTCAAAACATGTTTTAAAGAAAGTTAAAAATGGCATTTCAGTTTCAGATGAAAATGAAGAAGTGTTTATTCGTATTGTTTCTCTGCAAAGTGTTTGAAATATCAAATAAATAACATTTTCGTGTATGTATTTTTAACGCACTTTTTAGTTTTATTTTTGATTTAATTTTTAATAAGTTTAAAATTTTATTTCGCCTTCATATTTAATTTCCATCTTTTGCAGTTTAAAATATTTTAAATACTTTATTTATTTACTTTTAATATTTGAAAACTGTTCTTAGTCCAATAAATTCCTCGATATCAGAATGAGCTGTTATAAGTATCAATAATAAAAGACAATGAAAACTATTTGACGAAGAGCTTGAAACTCGGTAAAATTGGATGTATGTACGAGGAGTATACATATATATACATATTGAAGAATATATATATATATATATATATGGGATGGCATCGTTCATTATAATCGGATCACGCGACAAGCTGTGAGAGTAAATGTTTTACTTTCTCGATGATGGAAGTCAGACGATTCCGCCATTAAGACGATGACGCGATTCAAAGATGTTTGCTTGTAAAAGACGATTCCTTCTCTTCATCTGTATATATCATCTATGAAAATTCATCTTTCTACACATTAATCATTTTGTAGTTTGTAGCAACTATTTATGTTTCATTAAATATTCGAGTTATTCATAAGTCAAATTAGTCATTTCAAGCCCCTAGACAGCCACATCGGAAGTAAGTTTACAGACATCATATTCCTAGACAGTTAAGTATCGATTCTACAGAATTGAGCGCTCAGGCCGGTATGAGCCTAGGAAGAAGCATGATGAATATTACAAGAGAAGAGAAGTAAGTTTTTTTTTCTATTATTTCCACATTGTTACTTCTAAGAATAGTGTTCTATGATACTGTGAATTAAGATGACTACCTTAAATTCTATTCCTAGAATTTCAAATTCTTTAAAGAGTGGGCCTACTAAGTCAAATAAACTTTTACATCAAATTGTGTTTGGAACTTTGGGTGATCGAAAAAATAGAGCGAGATTGGGTAACTTTTGTGCTTTTCCATCTGATTTTAATAATGAAGAAACAAAACAAAATTACTTAAAACTCTTACTGCAAATGATTTTATTTCTGTGTGTAATTTGTTACATCTTAATTATGATTCAAATCCTGATAAAAACTGTGATTTAATATTGAATAGTCTTTGTGATTTTAAGCTTTTAAAATCCGAAAGTGATGACGATGATGAGTTATCTGAAAACGAAAGTGTTTATGATTCTGATAAAAATGATGATATAAATTCTGTTCGGTCAGAATCACCTCCCATAAATAACTCAGTGGATGAAAACATTATAATGCCTAGCAATATTTCCCTACATTTTCGTGATATCTTAGAAACTGTTTCTGAATTTAATGGCACTGATACATATCCAGTTGAATCCTTCATTGGTGATTTAGAAGAATCTTTTAAATTATTTAAGTTATCGGAATTACAGAAAATCGTGTTTGCTAAAAAATTGCTTACTGGTTCTTCTAAAGTATTTATTAGGTCTTTGAAGGGTATAATATCATGGGACAAATTAAAAGAAAATCTTTTATCGGAATTTGGTTCTGAAATAAACAGTGCACAACTTCATAATTTGTTACAGAAACGACACTTAAAACCTGGTGAATCACTTTCCGAATATTTAATTGCCATGCATGAAATAGCCAGTCGCGCTTCTGTTGATGATTCATCAATTCTTGATTATGTAATCAATGGGATACCAGATCAGAGTAGTAACAAAAATTATTTTGTATGGGTGTAAAACTATTTCTGAATTCAAAGACAAATTAAAAATTTATGAGAAAATTTGCCTTCCAGATACGAAGAATAAGGATTATTCAAGTACTAACACACAAAATAAAGCACACGCTATACTTAATAAGAGTAAAGAACCAAGGTGTTATAATTGTGGAAGTTTAGGTGATAAATCTAACTCGTGTAATAATTAGAGTAAAGGATTTAAGTGTTTTAAATGCGATTTGTTTGCACACAAAGCCGTAGATTGTTCGAAAACATCATCTAAAAATATCCAAGATGCAAAAAGCTGTTGCTCCAATAACTCAGACTTGCCAGAAAGAAATGCATAAAACTTTTAGTTTGGGTAATTTGCAAATTGATGCTTTAATAGATACTGGTAGTCAAGTAACGCTAATCCGAGAAGATATACATAAGAAGATAGGTTCTCCTGAACTTATGTCGGCAGAGCTACAGTTAACGGAATTTGGCAACAAACCTATAAAGAGATTTGAAGGTGAATTTGAAATTGATGTTTCTTCATTTAGATCAAATATTTGTTTTATGGCAGAAAAGAAGAAATCTGAGAATGATTCTGAAGAGCAAAAAAATGCTTATTGCAATGGAAATGGTTCTAAAGAAGGATTTGAAAAAGTTGTTAATTATGGTTTTTTACTTCCAAAACCAGAAACTGATCCTGTTAGTATAGTTCCTGTTACAGTACCGAATGTGATCAAACTGGATACCTCATCCACAATCAAAGCAAGCGGAAAGGATTTTCTGATTGTGAATTCTGACGACGTCCCGAGTGATGCAGATTCTGATATAAGTGAAAATGATGCTATTAAAGATGAATTTGAATTAGTGCAAAAAGGAAACTCAAGCACAATACAATTAGCTTCGAAGGCAACGAGGAGAAAACGATACTGCAAGAAGGACGATTCTGAAGAAGAATTATTTTCCGAAGAAGAGTCCCAGTTGCTTAAAGATGATAATGAATCAAATTGCGAATTCCACTAGAACAATTTCAGTAAAATACCTTGCAATAGAGAAGCAAAAGAAGCCACTAGAGACGAAGAAGAAAACTACAGAGACCATCGAAGAAGAGGAGAAGATTGAAGAGCAGAAGTCGATCAGAAAATCTAATGACAACGACGTTGATACAGAAAGCAAAGACGGAACAAAAGAAACTGAAGAAGGTGAAAAAAAAAAGAAGCGAAAAAGCAGATTCAGAAGATCCAGGAAGAAAACCAAAAGGCTTTGATAATGAAATACCGATTTTGATGATTCCTGATTTAGACGTTTTTCCCGACTAGACAAATTTCTCACGATTTAACTAATGGACTATTGTTTTAGAGACGTGAACTAATTTAAGAAGACTGAAGATGATGTCTAAGGATGAAATGTATGAAGGAAGACGGCTTAAGATGATTTTGATAAGACGCATTCGAATGACGGATCTTGAAGATATCTAAGACGCATTCAGAAGACCTATCCAGACAGTATCCAAGAAGAGGGCATTCAGACGATGTTTAAGAAGACGTAAATACAAAGACGAATCCAGACAACATGAAAGGAAAGACGTGTTTGTAAAATACACGTATTCAGACAGACTGTTCAAGATGAACGAACATTGAAAGAGCATTTAAGAAGAGCTAACGCCATTATTTCTGAGGATGTTAAAATGATAAGGGAAGATGGCTGAAATAAACCATTTAGGACGACTTTTCCCTCAAGCGGTAACTAATTTTTTTTTTTTAATTTTATTTTTCAGATCCCTAGATGAGATGGTGGTGCTACGAGAATGCGAGGCGGCATTCCATCAGAATGGACGAGCATTTGTGGGATGGCATCGTTCATTATAATCGGATGACGCGACAAGCTGTGAGAATAAATCTTTTACTCGATGATGGAAGTCGACGATTCCGTCATTAAGACGATGACGCGATTCAAAGATGTTTGCTTGTAAAAGACGATTTATGTTTCATCAAGGAACTATTTATGTTTCATTAAATATTCGAGTTATTCATAAGTCGACTTAGTCATTTCAAGCCCCTAGACAGCCACATCGGAAGTAAGTTTACAGACATCATATTTCTAGAAGTAAGTATCGATTCTATATATATATATCAAGCAAGGTAGTAATTACAATATTGAATAACCAATTTGGTCTAGAAAACATCTTGCGCAATATGCTGCAAAATAAGTAAAATAGAAATTGTAGTAAGCTCGCCCAAAAGTCACCAGGAGCTGCCGCTCCAAAAAGCCCAGCACGTTTTAAAAAATTAATACATATGAAAATCAAACCATTAAACATGTAAAACAATAAAAAACAAAATCAGATAAAAAAGTAAGCGGAAAATGGTAAATTAGCCCAACTCGACTTCCAAACTGGCTTTTCGAGAGAAATTTAATTTGTTTGAACGTCGAATCAAGCTAACCCCATTACGCGTTTCGCTTTTGATAGTCTCAATTCTCTGTTCCAATTTCCCGACGCGTCCGCACAAAATGACACATTAAGGTGTTAAAATATGTAAAAACTATTCCGAAACATCTTAAATCTAGACTAAAATAAAAAATAAAAATAAAAATAAAAATAAAAATAAAAACAAAAATAAATAGCTGTCTGCTATTAGTCCTAAATATACAAAAACATACGGGCTGGGCCTGCAAGCTTAAAGATTACCAATTTTATATATTTTAGAAATCTGTAACGAAAATCAGTAATTAAAATAAAAGAAAACTAAGATGATAATCAAC